GACTAAAGTTAAAGTCTCCTAGAATTACTACATTATCGTGCCTGTGGCCTTAACAATTTCCTCCATATAGTTTCCCTTGGTCCCTATCTAAGTTTAGGGGACGGTATCACTCCTAAAATCAGTTTTTCCATGCCCCTCTGAAAAATTCTATCCAAACAGACTCTGTATGTGTTACTTTCAGATTTAATACCCGTTTTTTATGCAACAGTTCAAGCGATCTCGGACATACAATGCCACCCCACCCCCCCCCCCCAATACTTCTATCTTCTGGAAAAATTTTTTAAAACCCTGAATATGACATTCCGCAGGCATGTCCGATTTTTTTAAATTTAAAAACCACGTCTCAGTTAAGGCAAATACATCAATGTTACCTACACTAGCAACTAATCTCAACTCGTCCATCTTATTCCTAGCACTACGGCAAATTAGAAATAATAAAACATTGAAAGACTCTCCTTTCTCTTTACCCTCCTGCTCATTTCTATTTTCCTACAAAACCCTATTACTGTCCTTATCACCCCAAGGTCCCTGGTTTTTTCAATATCTATCTCGTTCTTATTTTTACTATTTTTCCCTAGAACCGTAATATTACTACACGGGGACTTCACTTTTTTTCCTGCCAAAAACCCATACCACTAACTATTCCTAGTTTAAAGTCCTAACTGCTCCCTCCACTGCAGTTGCCATTGCTTCCACCCCACACCTAATAATGAACCCCATCCCTAGCATACATGTCATTTCTGCCATAGAAGGGGTCCCATTGGGTCAATAAATGTTACCGCATTTTCCTTACAGTATTTGTCCAGCCAGCAATTGACACCAATTGCCCGGACAACCATTCACTTTCCAACTCCCCCCCTTGGCAAAAAAACCCACATATGAGAGGGTTCCCACCCTTACTTCTAATTATTTCTATTGCTGACCTATACCTGCTAATCCAGGTCCTCACTCCTACGTCTGCCAACATCGTTGCCTCCAGCACTGAGACAGATAATAGGATTGCTCCCATTACCTCTCATGATGTCATCCAGACGGCTAACAATATCCTCCATTCCCAGCCCCAGGAAAGCAAAACCTCTGTCTCCTACTCCTGTCCTTCAAGCAGAACGCCCTATCCATATACCTAACTTGGCTATCCCCAACAACAACAATATTTTTTACCTTCCTTAATTTTCTTTCGTCGTGTCGTTCCCATAGTCAACTCACATTCGCGGGTAGCACTGAGAATGTTTTTGATGTTTCCACAACAGTTTCCACGGCAGTCTCTTTCTTCTTCATCGTTTCTACCTTTCCATTCGTCTTCTTAATCGTCAACTTCTTTCCCTGCTGTCCAGCCACTGACCAGTTTCCCTTCTTGACCTGAGGACTCAAAACAGGAGGACTACGAATCTTCTTGTTTTCCTCGGTCAATCGCCTAATTTCCAAATTCGCCAACCTCAATTCTTCCTTAAGCTGTTGGTAAAGTTGCTCGATGGAGGGCATCTTGCTTCAATTCTAGAGAGCGCGCAAACAGGTCTTCACAGAGCCAAGTACACGTCAACACTCAAAGTACACGTCAACACGGTTTAATCCATTCCAGAGCAATCGGCGAAAGGAAATCGGTGAAAACAGAAACCATTTTCCCCATAAGAAATAATGTAAATCCAATTAATCCATTCCAGACACCCATAAGTATTAACAAAAAAAATGTTTTTTACCTTAACCCTTTGAGGGTTTTGGTCGTACTAGTACGTCTTACGCGTAGGGGTTTTTGACGTACTAGTACTCATAAATTCTAGCGGCCTCAAATCTAGTGGGAGAAAGCTGGTAGGCCTTCATATGAAAGAATGGGTCTATGTGGTCAGTGTGCACAGTCTAAAAAAAATCCTGCAGCACACAGTGCATAATGAGAAAAAAAAAACTTTGACCATTTTTTTTTTAATAAATCAGCGACTTTGCAGTGTATTTTTGATGGTATTTATTTCTGTATTCTAGTTTTTCTTGGGCTCATTTTATAGAATGGAAGACATATTACAGAAATTGAGATGATTTTGACTGGTTTTTTCAAAGAAAGGTGCCTTGAAATTGAGCTGAAAGTAGCAGAAATGTTCGATTTTTACCAAACTTCAAAAGTAAACAAATCGTGCCAAGCGTGCAATACACGACAAATGGTGAGTCTAATTTTTCTTCACAAGTGCAAACCCAAAAATATTTATACCATTTTTTACACTAATGCGGTAGTCTGCATAACAGTAAATCTTATATTTTTTGTGAAAATAAAAATTCAAAGTGGAAAGGCAAAGAATATAAGAGGGGCCTTGAGACGTGACTAATGACTAGAAGAAATGTCATTTTAGTGCAGGAATGTCTTTCTTGTTTATTCTGGACCCCATTCGGAAATTGGCATCTTTTTTAAAAATTTGTGGGGAAATTGGCAAAAATTGCTAAATTCTGACCACTGTACTGGATAGTTGAATTTCATAAATGAGTGGTTTCTTGCACCCATTCGATAGAAAAAATGGAGTTCTAGCGAAATATTCATGTTTTTTGTCGACTAGTACAGTGAAATTGGCCGAAAATGGGGCTCAAAGTGGGCAAAATCGCCGATGCGTAAACATCGCCGAGACCGCTAACTTTGCGAGAGCATAATTCCGTAAGTTTTCTATCAAATTTCAAACTTTTGGTGTCTTTATGATCGGGAAAAGATTCTCTATCTTTTCATAAGAGAAAATAATTTTTTTTTTTTTAAATTTGGCCGACCCTGAGAACGAGTTTCGGAGAGGGCCTGTCGACCCTCAAAGGGTTAAAGATAGATTTACATGCACAAAAGAATGAACATTCAACATGACACTTAGCTATATTGAAGGTTGTTGTTGATAGGGAGGAGGGGAGAGGGAAGAGAGGTTATTGTTTGGAAGGGGAATCCCCCTCCATAAGGACTCTAGGTACTAAGTCCTTATCAGGGGTCACTTCTCTAGCTTAAATATAGATTTACATGCAGAAAAGAATGATAAGTAAATATAAAGCACTAATAAAATACATAAATGAACATTTAACATCATACTTACCTTTATTAAAGACTCTTGTTGGTGTATGGCAGACAGGCGAGTTTATTGTTGGAGAATGACACTAATATCAACTTTGCGGCTTATTTATCTATAACAATTCAGCTAATATGACATAATGAACAATATTAATAACATAGAAACATAACATATTCTAGAATGAATAAAATAAGTCATTATGTGTGTCACAAGAGGTATTCTGTTGTTGTTGTTGGGTGTATAAGGGCCATTGAGAGCATAAGCCATACGTACATAGTGATGATGAAGCAGCAGCTGAGGTGGCAGGGTTTTCTGTAGCCCTGTATAACTCCAACAACATTGGAGGAGTTAGTTGAATCACTGAAGAAGGCACCCTCTACCACCAACACTTCATATTTTTCTGCAAACTTTTTCTTGAATTCTACCGTGTTTCTCACATTCTCTACCAAAGGGGCTGGCACTAGAAGCTTTCTTTGGGCCCATGGTGGCTTATTTAGCAGTCACACACAATAAACATGTGCCAAAAAAAATGGATTATGTATTACGAAATGTTTCGTATGACCTGGTAGGATATGTTCATTCACCAAGAAACAACACGACACTGCCTGAGAATGCGTGTGGGAGGCAGCTTTGTCTGCGTGCTGGGCACTGGACAGGTTCCATACCATCGATGAAAATGGAGGAAATCAACAAAAACGGAACTAAAATATTGACAATAAAAGTCGATGAAAACGGAAATCAGAGATTGACAAAAAGGGAGGGGTCCACTGTATACCTGTTTTTATGAAGATAGTTAAGCCCTTTTGAGTAAAAAAGTATATACAGTGGAACCTCTACTTAAGAGTGCATCCATGTGTGAGTTTTTCCAGACATGAACAGTTGCTTGGTTGATTTTTTGCTTCCAGACGCAAGCGAAATTTCCAGATGTGAATGGGCCTCAAGGGAGGTTCCTTAATGCTGGTGAGGGGCTCTTGTGCTTGATCTAGGGAATTGGATCTTAGTTGTTTGTTGGGCTATCTTATTGAAACTTGGGCAATGTATGATGGAAAGGTGCTTCTTAACATGCACCAGAAATGAAGGAAATCGGACCATAAACAACGGAGTTCACTTCTCAGCCATTAGCTGCCCCTTAGTGGTATTTTCATATGGTTTTTATGGTTGTATTCTCGTTTTTTGATCTCATTTGATAGAATGGAAGATATATTGCAGAAGTAGATATGATTTTGATTGGTTTCACGAAGAAAAGTACCTTAAAATTGAGCTCAGTGTAGCAGAAATGTTTGATAATTTGGCGATGTTCAAGAGTAAACAAATATAAACACTATCCATTCCATTATGCAGTCATGAATGGGTTGACATTATTTATACAATTATAACAATAATGCAGTAGTCTGCATAATCAGTAAATCTTCTATTTTTTGTGTGAATAAAAATTACAAATTATTTATATTGTAATAATAATAATAATAATAATAGTATATTATAATAATAATATAATACATATAATAATAATACATGTATAATAATAATGTATGTACTATATAATAATAATTATAATAATAGACTGCTTTGAAAGGCTATCACTAGATGGCAGTGATTACAACAACGTGGGAGCGGTTGTGGCCGCCTCCACTTGTCACATGATGATATATTTTATTCATTCCAGAGTATATATCAAGTTTCTATGTCGTTTATATTGTTTATTATGTCAAACTAGATGAATTGTGATAGATAAATAAGCCGTATAGATGATATTAGCGAAATATTGAAGTATCTTGTCGTGCCTCCTGGGAACCGGAACATTAATTCCATTTGAATTAATTTAAATGAGGAAAACTGACTCTGTACACCAGCAAATCCAGATGCGAGCAAGGTCACAGAACAGATTAAACTCGTAAGTAGAGTTTCCACTGTAGTACGTATGTAATTTTTTTTTCTGTACGTTACCGTATATTAATGATGTATTTTTTTTTTCAGCTGGACATACTTTTTCATGGGTCTGTGTGGTCACGTGAATACAATCATAGTCAAGTCATCTCTTTCTCTGAGGGCTCTCTACTAGTGCGAGCACAGTTGGTACTTAATTCAGCAGATGTGGCTGCAGCTCAAAAATTAGGCACTGCATTTCTTCGAGGCCTCCACAATCGTCATGGGCACGAATGGCTTGGGAAATTTTCTGTTGATATCACGTCCATTAGATTCACAGAAGTGTCAGTTGACACCTTACCTCTTTCCACAACCACTCCACCCACAATCACAACTGTTGGAGTTGAGGAATCCTCTACTATTGTTATGGAAGCCTCACATCGCCTTAATGTTGGGTGGGGAGAATGGGGACCTTGGTCATCTTGCTCCCCTTGCTTACCACGCTATGACCAAATCAGAACTAGAAAGTGCCGTCTAGAGGCAGGTCGTGGTGTCATGGTCAGCAGTATTGAACCATGTTTGCCTTCAGTCTTAGGAGGTCAACTCCAGGGTACTGCTGGTGATATGGAGACAAGACAATGCCAGTGTGATCAAACTTTTTATACTACTCCCACTACAACTACGACAACAACTACTACTACTACAACTACAACTACCCCTGCTCCATGGAAGGATGAACAGCTACAGAGAGAGGAGCGAATAGATGAAACGAGTACAGGTAAATTAATATTTTCTTAATATTTAAACTTGCATTATGTCAGTTTAACACTCATGACATTGACCTTGCACATAATTGCAAAATATTTTTATCCTACTTGCCAAACAGAGATGAAGGGAATATAATAAGAGATAATTTAATAAGTGTAAAAGGGTCAAGAATTTTCAACACCATCTCTTCATACGTAATGGAAAATACCAACAGGAAAAATTTCCTGTTGGTATTTTAAGTGCCTCAAGTCAGTTCCTGATCAGCCAGGCTGCATTGCCAATACTGGATGGCATGTGGGTAGCACCAACAGCCTGGTTGATCAGGCCATCAACTTAGATGCCTGGTCAGGGACAGAGCCTCATGGTCTCTGACCTTGAGGTACTGTATGTCACAAGACATGATCTTTCTCACATTTTGTTTGGCCAGTCCGGTTAAACTTTGCACATTAATTTAGTAGAAAAAAATTACCATAAGCTAAATGTCAGTCAAACATTTTTGTAACAAAGATGAATGTTGCATTTCTTAACAAGGTAATTCTTTTTGATTATAATAATAATAATTAACAAGGTAATGCAGTGTCATGCTGTATAACTGACAAATTAGATTTAATGTAATGATACCAGTAAAATCATATATGGTATCCAATTTTAATTAAGTTTTCATAGCATAGTAAGTGCAGCTAAACAATCATTTTATGATGTTATTTTTCAAACTAAAGATACAGGGACCTGTTGAAATGAATTATTGTATGTACATTTAGTAGAGTGTCCAGAAGTTCATGATTAGTCTTTATTGAAACATATTGTAGGTACATCTTGAGTCACCTTGATACCAGTGAGGGGCTTCTTGATCCAAGGAACTGGTTTTGACCTCCCCTTCCTTGGATCGAACCTGAATGCCTCCTACTCTTCAGGCACTATATGACCCCTGTAGGTTTTGCGCTTCTCCATTCATGATTAGGATGATGAATTAGACGTGTGCAACACCTGGCCGAAAGCCAGAATTTTTTGTTGATTATTTGGCCAATCAGGCTGTTGCTTGCATCACACCATGGTTGATATTATTAAACCTATCGCACGAAATTATAATAACATGATTGCAAAATTACATTTATGAAGGGGTTCAGGGAAACCGGCAGGCCGGACTTGAGTCCTGGAGATGGGAAGTACAGTGCCTGCACTCTGAAGGAGGGGTGTTAATGTTGCAGTTTGAAAACTGTAGTGTAAAGCACCCTTCTGGCAAGACAGTGATGGAGTGAATGATGGTGAAAGTTTTTCTTTTTCAGGCCACCCTGCCTTGGTGTCGGCCAATGTGATAATAAAATAAAATAAAATAAAATTATTGCAAACAAATTGTTACCACACTGGCCTGTGAGTTTTAAGACTCGCCTGCCATAGGTTCAGTCTCCAGTTATTCTGCGATTTATTAAACCTTTTGTTGTTCACAGAGCGACTTTGTGATTCTTGCTTACTTGGGGAAGTTTGTGTGGGTCTACAAGGTGAACCATATCCTACCTGTCGAACAGCTCGAGATTCTGGAGATAGAACAGGTAAGTGCCTTCAATGAAGTATCGTGTACAGTATTTCAGTAGATTTCTTCCTTACTGTAATACAGCACTCAGATTATGAGAAATAACTTCAAACTTTCTGGTGATTTCAGATTTAGATAATCCCAACTGTATAAAATAATTTTTTTTTAAAACATTGAAAACTTTATGAAGACATCCCAGGAGGTAATTTGGATAAGCATTCATACACAAATGAACTTACCCTCTGACTGTTTTGGTCGTATATATATGTCTTACGAGCCAGTGTTTTTGATGTATTTATACTCCAGAATTCTAGCGGCTTCAAATCAGGCAGGAGAAAGCTGGTAGATTCACATGTGAGAGAATGGGTCTGTGTGGTCAGTGTGCGCAGTATAAAAAAAAAAATCCTGCAGCACGCAGTGCATAATGAGAAAAAAAACTGACCGGTTTTTTGGATTAAAACACCGACTTTGAGGTGTATTTTCGTATGGTATTTAACCATCTTTTAGGAATGAAGAAGAGCAGAATGTAAGTGTGGGGGAGGTACGCGAGGCATTACGTAGAATGAAAGGAGGTAAAGCAGCTGGAACTGATGGGATCATGACAAATGTTAAAAGCAGGGGGGGATATAGTGTTGGAGTGGTTGGTACTTTTGTTTAATAAATGTATGAAAGAGGGGAAGGTACCTAGGGATTGGCGGAGAGCATGTATAGTCCCTTTATATAAAGGGAAGGGGGACAAAAGAGATTGTAAAAATTATAGAGGAATAAGTTTACTGAGTATACCAGGAAAAGTGTACGGTAGGGTTATTATTGAAAGAATTAGAGGTAAGACAGAATGTAGGATTGCGGATGAGCAAGGAGGTTTCAGAGTGGGTAGGGGATGTGTAGATCAAGTGTTTACATTGAAGCATATATGTGAACAGTATTTAGATAAGGGTAGGGAAGTTTTTATTGCATTTATGGATTTAGAAAAGGCATATGATAGAGTGGATAGGGGAGCAATGTGGCAGATGTTGCAAGTATATGGAATAGGTGGTAAGTTACTAAATGCTGTAAAGAGTTTTTATGAGGATAGTGAGGCTCAGGTTAGGGTGTGTAGAAGAGAGGGAGACTACTTCCCGGTAAAAGTAGGTCTTAGACAGGGATGTGTAATGTCACCATGGTTGTTTAATATATTTATAGATGGGGTTGTAAAAGAAGTAAATGCTAGGGTGTTCAGGAGAAGGGTGGGATTAAATTATGGGGAATCAAATACAAAATGGGAATTGACACAGTTACTTTTTGCTGATGATACTGTGCTTACGGGAGATTCTAAAGAAAAATTGCAAAGGTTAGTGGATGAGTTTGGGAGTGTGTGTAAAGGTAGAAAGTTGAAAGTGAACATAGAAAAGAGTAAGGTGATGAGGGTATCAAATGATTTAGATAAAAACAAATTGGATATCAAATTGGGAAGGAGGAGTATGGAAGAAGTGAATGTTTTCAGATACTTGGGAGTTGACGTGTCGGCGGATGGATTTATGAAGGATGAGGTTAATCATAGAATTGATGAGGGAAAAAAGGTGAGTGGTGCATTGAGGTATATGTGGAGTCAAAAAACGTTATCTATGGAGGCAAAGAAGGGAATGTATGAAAGTATAGTAGTACCAACACTCTTATATGGGTGTGAAGCTTGGGTTGTGAATGCAGCAGCGAGGAAACGGTTGGAGGCAGTGGAGATGTCCTGTCTAAGGGCAATGTGTGGAAATTAGGAGAAGGTGTGGAGTTAATAAAAGTATTAGTGAGAGGGCTGAAGAGGGGTTGTTGAGGTGGTTTGGTCATTTAGAGAGAATGGATCAAAGTAGAATGACATGGAGAGCATTTAAATCGGTAGGAGAAGGAAGACAGGGTAGGGGTCATCCTCGAAAAGGTTGGAAGGAAGGGGTAAGGGAGGTTTTATGGGCGAGGGGCTTGGACTTCCAGCAGGCGTGCATGAGCGTGTTCGATAGGAGTGAATGGAGACGAATGGTATTTGGGACTTGACGATCTGTTGGAGTGTGAGCAGGGTAATATTTAGTGAAGGGATTCAGGGAAACCGGTTATTTTTATATAGCTGGACTTGAGTCCTGGAAATGGGAAGTACAATGCCTGCACTCTAAAGGAGGGGTTTCGGGATATTAGCAGTTTGGAGGGATATGTTGTGCATCTTTATACGTATATGCTTCTAAACTGTTGTGTTCTGAGCACCTCTGCAAAAACTGATTATGTGTGAGTGAGGTGAAAGTGTTGAATGATGATGAAAGTATTTTCTTTTTGGGGATTTTCTTTCTTTTTTGGGTCACCCTGCCTCGGTGGGAGACGGCCGACTTGTTGAAAAAAAAAAAAAATTAACCTTTTGATTGTTTTGGTCATATATATACGTCTTACGAGTCAGTGTTTTGGACCTATATATATAATCAATAATTCTAGCAGCTTCAAATCAAGCAGAAGAAAGCTGGTAGGCCCACATGTGAGAGAATGGGTCTGTGTTTACCTGGAGAGAGTTCCGGGGGTCAACGCCCCCGCGGCCCAGTCTGTGACCAGGCGTCCTGGTGGATCAGAGCCTGATCAACCAGGCTGTTACTGCTGGCTGCATGCAATCCAACGTACGAGCCACAGACCAGCTGGTCAGGTACCGACTTTAGGTGCTTGTCCAGTGCCAGCTTGAAGAATGCCTGGGGTCTATTGGTAATCCCCCTTATGTATGCTGGGAGGCAGTTGAACAGTCTCGGGCCCCTGAGACTTATTGTATTGCCTCTAGTGACACCCCTGGTTTTCATTGGGGGGATGTTGCATTGTCTGCCAAGTCTTTTGCTTTCATTGTGAGTGATTTTTGTGTGCAAGTTCGGTACTAGTCCCTCTAGGATTTTTCAGGTGGTCAGTGTGCACCACATAAAAAAATCCTGCAGCATGCAGTGCATAATGAGAATAAAAAAAACTGACTTTTTTTTAATTAAAACGCCGACTTTGAGGTGTATTTTCGTATAGTATTTATCGTTGTAGTATTCTTGTTTTCATGGTCTCGTGTGACAAAATGGAAAACATATTGCAGAAATAGAGATGACTTTGATTAGTTTCACGATGAAAACGACCTTGAAATTGAGCTCAAAGTAGCGGAAATCTTCGATTTTTACCAATGTTCAAGAGTAAGCAAATCATACCATATGTCCAATACACGTCAATTGGGGAGTCTAATATTCTTTCTCTGGTGCACTGATATTATTTACATGTATACCTATTTTTACAATAATGCAGTAATCTGCATAACAGCAAATTTTGTATTTTTTGTATGAATAAAAAGTCAAAATAGAAAGCAATAGTAATATAAGAGGGGCCTAGAGATGTGACTAATGAACAGAGGATATGTTATTTTAGTGCCAAGAATGTCTACATTGTTTATTCTGGACCCTATTTTGAAATTGGCATCTTTTTTAATTTGCATGAAATTGACCAAATTGCCAATTTCTGATCACTTTATTGGGTAGTTTAAATCAGTAAATGGGCAGTTCCTTTTACTCAATTGATAGAAAAAATGGAGTTCTAAATAAATAGCTATGTCTTTGGTCAACTGGAACAATGGAATTGGCCTAAAAGAGGGTTCAGAGTCGACGAAATCGCGATGCGCATATGTCGCCGAGACCACTAACTTTGCAGGAGTGTAATTCCGTGAGTTTTCGACCAAATTTTGTACTTTTGGTGTCATTACCACCAGGAAAAGTTTCTCTATCATTTCATAAGAATTTTTTTTTTTTTCCCAAAATTTTGCGACAGAATGACAGTTTCAGAAAGGGGCTTGCGACAGTCAAAGGGTTAAGGTTGTATTCTCATTTTCGTGGTCTCATTTGATAGAATAGAAGACATATTACACAAATGGAGATGATTTTAATTGGTTTCATGATGAAAAGGACCTTGAAATTGAGCTCAAAGTAGCAGAACTGTTCAATTTTTGCAACTGTTCAAGAGTAAACAAATGACGTTATTGTCCAATAAGTGTCCAACTAGCCATTCTAATACACAGTCAGGAATGGGTTGATGTTATTTATACAATTACTACAATAATGCAGTAGTCTGCATAACAGTAAATCTTTATATTTTGTATGAATAAAAATTCAAAATAGAAAGCAAGAATAATATAAGAGGGGCCTGGAGACGTGACTGATGAACAGAGAAAATGTTATTTTAGTGCCAGGAATGTCTGCATTGTTCATTCTGGACCCTATTTTGAAATTGGCATCTTTTTTAATTCGCGTGAAATTGGCCAAATTGCCAATTTTTGGCCACTATTGGGTAGTTGAAATTGGTAAATGGGTGGTTTCTTGTACTCCGTCGATAGAACAAATAGACTTCTAAAAAAAATAGCTATGAGTTTGGTCGACTGGAACATTGGAATTGGCCGAAAATAGGACTTGGTGGGCAAAATTGCCGATGCATAAATATTGCCGAGATCGCTAACTTTGTGAGAGCGCAATTCCGTAAGTTTTCCATCAAATTTCATACTTTTGGTGTCATTAACATCAGGAAAAGATTATCTATCATTTCATAAGTGTTTTTTTTTTTTTTCAAAAATTTTGTGACGGAGAGAAACTTTAGGATTTGGGGTCGCGACAGTCAAAAGGTTAAAGGCTGGCAATTTTGCCTAAAGTCAGTGTATATAGTAATAGAACCAACCAGAGTGCAAGAATCCTTTGACCTTACCTTCACAAATGAAGATGATCTACTGTGAAACAATGGTGCCAAACAAAATTTGGCCTACCTTTGATATACCTTTGAAGAGTTTCGAGAGTTTATCTACTCTCTGAGCCCAGCCATGGGCCAGGCTCGTCTGGTGCTTGCCTGGTCATCCAGGCTGTTGCTACTGGAGGCCAGCTGCCCCTCATATCCATCACAGCCTGGTTGATCTGGCCTACACTGAAGTTTAGATCTAGATAGCTGTAGCTCAAAAGAAATAGTTGGGGTCTTTTTAATCAATTCATTTTAATTAATAAATATATTGAGTGGAATATA